ATTTAATGGTCGTGCAACAATTGTATTGGTCGATTGTATAATATCTTAAAATATTGATGGTTTTTTTTTTCAGTGATATCGTTTAGTTTATAGAATTTATTGTTGTACCAAAATCTAGCGTTAGATAATTCATAAAATTATTGTCCTCAAAGAACTGCGTAAGTGGACAGCATCTTGCAGTTCATTGTTAGTAACTTGAGTGAATAAGAGAAACGTCTAAACCACTTACTTCTCCATTTCTGAAAATCTTTAGACAGCTCGTTAGTGTCTTGAAGTTTAATGTCAGCAACTTAGTGAGACAAAATAGGCTTACTAAGCCACTTATTTCATTGCTACAATCAGCAATACTTAAATATATTAGTGAGTAATGAAAATCAAATCGGCCTTCGGTTTAATTGTCATCACAAATTTAAAAGAGCTACTTCACTTTAGTTGTCGTTGGTGAAATTCAAAACTTTAATTACAGACCCTTTAATTAAAAAAATAAATAGTATGATAAAATATTTTAAACTAATAAATAGGCGACAGAGAGAAAATATAGGACATTTGTAACATTAAAACTTTCTTCGCATTTAGTTGCTTAACATTTTCATTTTTGTTTTTTTTTTGGGTTACAATATCCATAACTTTTTAAAAATCAGCCCATATCGCAATTTTTCTTATAATGTCTATATCCTGAAAATTTTTATATCCTATGTAGGTAGCATATTGTCAATCTAGATTTGAGGGGACCGGACTGTTATAACCGAAAGTCTGGGATTAAACGAAATCAGATTGAAACATTTGTAAAACAAGACTTGTATATTAGTATATTAGGTAAGATTGTTAAATCGATGTTTTTATCATGCAAATAATTTAAATAAATGATTAATAACAATATTCATAATATAATATATTTATTAGTTGTGAAAACTGATTGGGTATAAAATATATCAGACTATAAATATTTTGTTTTTATATGTCGGTCCCAATTAACCAGACGTCTGGACTAGCGAGGTACTGTTAAACAAGACTATTGTATTTATGAATATATATTATTTTATCAATATTATTATTATTTATAAATTTTTTAGCGTTACCAAAACCTTAAAAATCCATTCAAATATATTGTATATTTTAATAAGTGAATTTATTTATTTTTTTGTTAAAGTAAAGAAATAAACATAGATATTATGTTACGTGTTGTACCTATAATATTGTACAACTATTCTATTGAATATTATAGACAATTTAAGTGTGATATTGAAATTTTTATGTAACAGGAAATATATATATATTATAAAATAAATGGTAAAACTTTAGTGTCTTGTTAAACTTAACATAAAAATCCTCTTGTATTCTTTCATTTTGGTATTCTATCTGTCACCAATATACCGTATCAAAAATATAAAACTTTTTTACCTACTTCCACAGTTCCACCGAACAAGTGTTTTTAGTTTATTACTAAACCTATTCATAAAATTTCTTTGGCTCTGATTTCAATAGTATAAAATGTATAGTATGTATACGTATATTAAAGCGAGTTTTCTACGTTTGAATCGAGAAGTGTATTTCTGTGTTTTGTGACTGACAATGATCGAATAAACAATTACTGATCAGCTGTCAATGTGTTTTTGTGCGCCACGCCGTTCCTACTTTAAAAATATATGGTTTGCGACTATGACTTGCGAAGTTTAGAGAACGGTGAGGTAATCTAATAATTGTCTATTACCAAAAAATTATGAGCGCTAAACGTGATAATAAATATATTTAAAAACACTAGAAAAATAATAACAATAAATTAATAATCAATATAATATATATCAACGAGCGCCCACGACTAAATCGAACAGAAAAGTAATAATATAACATGTAAATATCAAATACAGCAATAATCTGACCTGTATCACAACTCTGAAGTCTATCACTTATTGATTTTTCAAATGTAAACTCACTGCGAGCTTATCCTGGACTCCAAAACCAGATACCACGTGTACGGTTTTCTGCTTGATCTTCGCTAGATCGGTGATATCGTTATTTATGAAGCTAAACAAACTTGAACAAAGAGATTGATGATCATTTGGACGTCAATACATTACACATTTGTAGCAGGACAGCAAAACAGTCTACAATCAAGTACCAAAGAGACGTAGCAACTCGTGAAGTGAAATACTTTAATTATGACTTTACGGGTCATCCAAGATACGTGGTTTAACAATTCGATACGAGACTAGGCAGTGACAAGTAATAAGTAATGATGCAGAAAACGGTGCCGTGGAGACAATAAACTTTATAAAGCAAGGCAGCACACGAGAAAAAGGACGCAAAAAGCAAAATAAAAAAACGCAATCTTCCGGAAGCACACACGTAACAGAAAACGGGTGGAATTTGCTCCGCAAAATTAAAACTTTGAAAAAGACAAAAGCACCCGATGAAGACCTATAGCAGTGAAGGCTCTGGCCGCCAACCGATATCAGGATGAAATGGAGGGGGAAAAACGCCTCACAACTTGAAAAGCCTTTGAATTTAATGACAATGGGCGGGATATTAAAACCTCGTTCAAACAATTTTAATGATTAACAATAACAATATCTATACCGTTTTTTAATAATTCGTTACATTGTTTTGTTTCTTCATACTCGATTGGTTTTCATTCTTAAACGACATTTGGTAGTGAAATTAAGGCAGTTAAGCAATTACAAGCCAAAACGACTATAAAATAAAAATTAACCATAGCTTCTGTTACCGACTGTTAAAGATAAAATGATTTTTCTTCTTTTCTCAAATATTGATTTTAAAAATTTAAAATTTAACGTTCGATAATGTGCCGTTTGTCTGTCACTATTCAATGGCCTTATATGGTTTATGCATCGAAGTAGTGTATTGAATTGAAAAGGTTAGAAATTCAAAAAATAAATGTAGGTAGATCACTAACTCACTAACTTTAAGCTTAAAATTTAACACTTGTATAACATTCAATTTTCAAAAGTTACACGAGTATTTCTGTTTAAAAATATAAGCTTACGTATATTTTATAACAAGATTTAATAACTATTGTAATATACGGGTTAGTACGGACTCATTATCGTGACCAATCTATACATTTTGATTACAAAATATTTATAGAATAATATTATTCATAGCAATAAGTTATGATTATTATTTGAAATTTAATTAAATAATCCAATTTATATTTAATTTTATATGTATACTTCTAAATTGTGAATTATAATAGATATTAAAATTTCAATTTCAATCAGAATTTGTTATTGTAATGTATAAAGTATAATATAATATGTAGTTTACAATATTTTTCAACACTTTTCACCGTTGTTTGATATGTTGATTTGCAAATGATATACGATATTTTGGCACAGTCAAAGAGCCAAGATGCACTCAGTTTTGCGCTATCCATCTCATACATATAATATTTATGCTCAGATGATGGTCGATTTGCAAATCAAATTATTCACGTATGTACCAAAATGGGGTTTTTTTTTAAACACAATATATTGTTTTTTAGATATTTAACAGTCTATATTGACAGTCATCATTATACACAGAACATACCTACACTATATTGTTTATAAACAGTGTTATAGTTTGAATCCTCCCTCATATCAACATTTTAACTCTGTTGTTGACTCGTCCTGTGCACATTTCAATCCCTAATGAGTTCAACTACAGAATAAAGTAAAGTCTTGATTGCGAAATACGTGGAAGACACACGTATACAGGTCACTACAGAACCGTAGGTACTAAAATATATATATCCTATAAAATCTTGTTTTGCATATATTTATGGAAACACAAATTTATATTAAGGCTTTAATAACATTTATAACTGTCCGCATTCATAGTAAACAACGATTCAATGTTTCTAAAATTATATATTTATACGCGGTACGTATTTTCGGATATTAATAAGTAGGTACACGCGAAATACTTGACTATTTACCTACCTAAACAACGCGGAATATCAAATTTGTTTTCATATTAAACATTTTACACATTGTTCGAATTTTATGAATATATATAAGTTTATTATAAATCTGTACTTTTTATTAAAAAATTTAATTTGATTTTTATGATCATTTTTTTTTTATAATTAAATATTAATTACATAAAAAATTATGAAATATAAAAATATCATAATTTGTTACTTATTTTAATACTATTCAATACTGAACGAATTCATGATAATAGATAATGCTATTGTTTTAATTTCAATAATATGCATTTTTGAGATATTGCTATATTTTTTAAAATACATAATAATATATAACCATCGATCATGATGTATAGATTTAGAATGAAATTTCTGTAGACTTATGCTAAGGAATTTGAAGGAACTTTACCAGATAAATAAAAAAATATAAACAAAATCCGTGAAAACTGTGACATTTTCCGTATTCAAAAAAATTAGTTTAAACCGTAAACATTAAAAAAACATAATAATCTATTCGTGGCCAGAAAATTATGTTAATTTTAAAATTATAACAACTTTTATTTCACTAATTTCTGGTTTTTAAATAAAATATCTCTTAAATCTTTATAATATAATTTATCGTCTTATCAGAAATATACAAATATGCGTCTTACTATTTATATTTCATCGAAGTATAGTTTTGAAATTAAATGAACTAAACTTAATTTTTTTATTATTAAATCGTTTTCATCGTTTCTTTTGAAAATAAAAGATTAATCTGAGTATGCAACAAAGAAATTTTAATATAAAAGTAATGAAAAGAAACTTTGACATTGTTATATAACTTATAATTAGAATTTTTGCTCTTTTTTCAAGAATTTAAATACGAATTATTCATTATTATTTTATACAGTTATGCGAAAACTATTCTTATATGATATTAGTTACTGACTAATCGTTTGTGCTAACTTCTAAGTTATAAATGATTTGGTTTTATTCTTGTTTTTATAATCTGTAATATGGTAATAAAAAATCATGGTTTATTCCATAAATTAAACACAAATTCACTGTAGAAAAACAGTTTAAATTTCAGTCTAAATCGTACTTCTTTAATGTATTATTTAAAAATAAACTATGCTAATGTATAAACTATAAGCACCTTATATTCTACGAACCTAGATATAATAAATTGTATCATTAAGATTTATAAATAGAATATTATCTAAGTTATATTCTAAAATACACTACATAACAATTTTTGGTAACGAATCATGCAGGATTTGGAATTATTTCGGCTACAAACGTTCTTATCTGCATTGGAGTTAACATGACATGCTTGGGATCAGACAATGTTTGGTCAGGCCTTATCGGCTGTTTAGTGTCTGAAGAATTACTATTTTCTGGTATCCAAGTAAGTTTAGTGTTTTCCGAGAGCCATTGATTACCACCCAATATTGTCTCCTTTAATGAAACTATACGGAACTTCGTAAACAAATCCTAAACCAATCAACAAGTCATTATAAAATATAAAGAATAAAAAAATAACAAAAATATAATAAATTATAAAATAATAATTGTTTCGACATCTAATCGAGTTAAATTCGAATACAACCTTTGTATTCGTCTAAATCATATAATATATAAAATATTAGAATGAACCCTAGTATTTGTTCGACTTAATTAAAAATTAAAAATCATATATCAAAACCATAAAAATTTTTGAAGTTGAAATTAATTAGTTAAATTATTTGTTTTTTTTTTTTTTTTTTTTTTGTGTCTATTTGACTATTATTTTTTAGACTCAAATATTAATTACATTACTCTTACTACATAAAATGATCTTGAATTCGCTATTTAATTTAAACTAAAGCTGTACCAATAAAAAAAAAAAAAAACAAACCTGTATATCTAAGACAACTGGAGTAGATAAATTCTTATCTTCATTGTACTCGAATATGTGCTCAAATCTTAGTAACACTGATCCATCTTTCCATGGTTCCAAAGTAAGTAATTGTATGTTATTTGGTAAAGGTTTTTTCAAACCAGAATACTAAAAAATTGAATCCTCAATTAAGATTTTACAAATAAATTGAAAATATAATGCATGCCGATAAATTGTAAACTTGGTTTGTATTACCTAATTATAAATATTTTGTACAAACATAAAAAAAAAAAAAAATATACGTGCTTAAATCTAACTAAATTTATTTGTGATAATATTTATTTTTAATTTATATTTATATTTTTGTAACTTGCTGTATACTTCATTAATAAAATTTACATTTTTAATTTAGCTCTAAACACTTATTATAATTATGCATAAGCTGTTTAATCCTACTACGTAATTGTAAAATAAAGTTTACTAAATTCAAGTATTTTAATGAATACGACAAACCAAAATTAATTAATACGTATTTAAAATGATTAGGTAGATATTATTTTATTAATTTTTTATTCCTTAATTGTTTATAGTTATTTTTTTCAATATTCTTTAATTATACGCGTAAACACAGATAAAATTATTTAATATGAAGAATTATTTTGTGACTTTCTGTTTGAAAAAAAATTAATTAAACAAGTATTTATTTTAAAATATATTAATCAAAAAATAATTCAAAAATTGTAAAAATATTAATAGCGTTGACTCGGTCAACATTTTGTGTGTTATTATAATTGAAAATTGAATGCTCTTTTAAAACGCTTTTTTGTTTTTGTTTATATAATTTGGTAAGTCAAACATAAAAAAATAAGCCTAATTCAATCATTAATAATATTACTATTTTTGTTATTATCTTGAATAAATAAAATATATCAATTTTGGTCTATAATATTTTTACAAAAAAAAAATATAAATTATTTAATCACAAAGGCCAGAACAGAAAATTTTCTTATTCGATTATTATTTATTAATCTTTCTTGTAGTTTTGAAATTATATTTAATTTTACAGAATTAATTTTTTAAATTTTTATTATTTAATTAATTTGCTAAGTATTAATATTACAATTTGTTGTGCTTCGTTAGTTTATTTTTATATTCTTTCATAACCTGGTTGTGTTTTTAACCAGATTATAACAAATAAGTAGTTAATTGTTTTTACGATATCCATATTATAATATGTATATCGTAGAAACATATCACGCAGCCGTAGGTTTATAATATCAAGTTTAAACTAACTATTATTCCATCGCTATAAATATTCATAATCCATGTAATATATTTCATGTATTATAAATATGTATTAATGTATATTATAGAGTGTATTTGTAGTTGTAACATTCTAAACATTTTTATTCAGGTAAATATTTATTTTGTTTTACCTGTAGAACAGTGGATTTTTTTAGTTCTTCGTAGGATACAACATTCTGTTTCTTTGTGAAAAAATATTGAGGTCGAATAAGTTTCCTTTGAGCTAATAGTCTTTCTACCGCAATTTGTTTATCAACTGATCCTAAAGTTAAATAGTGATGTCCTCTGGCTACCAAGCCCACTCCAAAGGCAGTCTCATTTAACGCTTCACCGACGCCAAAGGCATCGTCGTAGAATATTCTTCTATGTACCTAAGAATAGTATTTAAAGTCATTATAATTATATCGCAAAATATTACCTGATAGAACGAAATTATAATATATATATGGGTACCATGAGCTCAATTTCACCATCTTGAAGACTCGATCCACCTTGAGACCTGTCATTGAGAATGGAAAATCGTGTATGTTGGTCTGTCAACGATATGCGGGAAGTAATTGGATAATAGTTTCCGGATACATTTTCCACATTTTCTTTTAAATTGAATGAAGGTCTGTAGTTCACTATACGTTTTAACATTTCTCGGCCGTTAGAATCGGTATAGAATGTTTGATTGTTCTTGTAAAACGGAATGTGAAAACGTGATATGACTTCCTTTCCAATTTTGTCGCTGAGAAAGAACAAATAAAATCAGTAACTTTAGTTTGGATCTGATTAGGATTAATCAATAAAAATTATTTTATTCATTTACTTGTCTGGTATTGGTCCTATAAGCCATTCAAATTCAATATTATCTTCTCCGTTGTATTTTCTTATCACCTGACTTGCCCATTCATTGCATTCTTTATGAATTTCTTGCACTACGGGTCCTTAATATCGTTATAAATAGTACCATATTGCATTAATATCGTTATGACATAGATAGAAACTGATTAAATTAAAAAAATCTCTTACCTGATACGCGTCGTGGTTTTTTTTTACTATCGCAAAGAGGTATAGGTGCACCATCAGGACGAAATATATAAGCTCCCGAGGCTCTTTTATAATCTTTAGAGTTATCTCCGACCATACTTTTGTAATATAAAAATTCCTGAATTAACGGTATTTCCTCGTTGTCAACGTACAGTACAAAACGTTTAGGGTCGCTGTCATCAATTATCAGACCTAAACGCTAAAGACAACAAATATATTTAAATGGGCGTTCCTGTAAAAATGACCTTAAGTTATATTATTGTACGAATATCTAGCAAAATAATCTTATGACAAATTATTTTTATTTTTTTATTAAAACATCTAGTTTTTTGTAAAAAACTCAGAATAAAATTATTTTAATGCACTCATAATAATATTATGTTAAAACATAAAAATAAATATTCACGTCTATATGTTTAAAAACTCGTATTTTAATTTATTGAAGAAATAAACAAATAATTTAACCTAACCCAATTTTACGGGATAAATTACAATTTTAAAGAGTAATTACTAATTACCTAATAGAAAATTTCTAAAAATTTGTTTTCTATAGTAGTAAAAATAAGTTGACTAAATGTAAGATTATGTTGAATTTTAAAAATTAGAGCTTTTCTTAAATGGGATCAATCTTAACTATTTATAAAAAAATGATAAAAAACAATTTTTTTACTATTTTATCGAATTGCATCTTAAACACAAATCTGAAATCATTAAATAGAAAATAATATGTCGTTTAAAAAAAGTTTTAGAAAATGAAATTTATGTTAACCTGATCCGTTTATTTCAAATGTAAGAACATATAAGTTTAAAAGGTATAACGATTTACGATTTAAATATAACATTATGTTGTATACCTATAGTTACATAGCAACTGTGATACTTACCCTATCGCCGACGTCCACGGGACCTTGGGTTTCCGATTCTGCCGACCTCTTAGTCCGTAAGCTACTCGGTTGTTTCGTAATTAAATACGATTTGTACCCCAGTGGCGGTAAGTCTTCGGCCTGGAAAACGAGTTCGGTAGTGGCCGATGATTCACGGCCAGGTATACGTAACACTGCGTCTGGCAAAGGCACAAACTGTACCGTCAAATTTTGTCCCCATGGATCAACCACGTAATAGGCCGTTTCGGCGGCTATGGGCAATCGGACGAATTCCGTTATCGGCCGACTCAACGGATTGTAGAGGGTGAGCACGAACTGTTCGTTGTTTTCGGACACTTCACATTGGCTGATGTTCAACAGGTGACAAGTAGTATACCCTGAAGTTTCTATGCCTGTGGCCAAATATCTGTAAACGAATGCGTTAACTATAGAAACTGTTATTTAGTCGACGAATACGCCATTATCACTACCAGTAATTGTATTGCTAATTTGGTGCTTGTATAACTAAAGTGATGGACAATATTAAAAAAAACCTTATCATGTGTTGAAAAAAAGTTGTCTCTAATTCTGTAAATTAAGTATAAGTGCACTTTGTACTTTAAGAGGACCATTTTTAAATATTTATTGAAGAACTAAAAAAAAAAAAAACATAATGCAAAATGTATAGTACCTATATATAGCTTTTATAAAAGTAATATGAATCGTCTGGTATAAAAAAAAAAAAAAAAAAACTTTAAAATATTTACACGTTATTTTTTGGAACAGTATAACATGTATGATAGTTATTTTTAAACGTATAAAAATCGATAGTCAGTGATTATCTAACTCTAATATGTGTTTTGGTAATTGGCTCTCTAAATATTTTTTTGATAATTGCTTGATTGAAAATTGCATATAGTTTTAGAAAATTTCATTTGCGTGACTAAAATGTCTAATAGGTATATATTACATATCCTTGTAAATTTAACTAGTGTGCGCTGAGTAGATAATTTCGTATTCCCATTTCCCCTCTCACAAATACATCACTGGTTATTATTATTATTATTTGTGTATTTCGTTTATTACGATAATATTGTGTACGACACATCATCGCACTCTTCGATCGCTTCACTCAGTAACCGCGCATAATCGTTGGCCACATGTTGTTTCTCTGTACCACTGATAGCATCGTGATGTTGCATTACACCCATCGTTTCACGGAGCACTGTGATTTTTGGTTCGTACTTGGCGCCCGTTAGGCTCTGGACGGCTAATTGTTTGCACGTCTAAAACATAATATTGATAAAATGATGTTAGTTAAAATTTTTAATATTAAAACCGTATTTTATAATAATATACTATTAATATTATTATTGTTAATAACATAACATGCAACTATGAACACATGCGTGTAATAAGATTGTAGTCCTACTTCGTTGGGGTTAATAGACCGAATATTTCAGTATATTGAAATAAGATTAGAAGAATTATTGAGCATATTAAACATTTAAGTACACTTTCAATGTTAAATCAAGTGTTAAGTATACACACACATTGATTTCAATTAGTTGGGTTACGTACCTGTAAATGATTATTCCCCTTTCGTTCATAGTATTTCTGTGTGGGTCTGGACGTGAAATATCCAGTCCAATACGAATGTTTGTCACTTTTATATGGAAAAAAGTCATCTTGTTTGGTCGGGAACGTTATTTGCTGATTGTTAACAGCTTTCAGATAACATGATGGCGTGGAGTAAATAGCATTAATTTTACTTCCGGACGCTTGTTTTGAGTTTATATGTCTACAAATAATATAAGGTTAAAGTTCAGAATCAAAGAATTTGATTAATCAAAGGAAATTAGAATTAATATTTTTTCTAACTAAACTAAGCCACCGATTTTTTTTTTTCATTTTTTAGAATATATACAATCTGTAAAGGTATTTACAATGAGCATAAGTGCGAAAAAATAAAAACAATAATTAACTATACTAATATATAACATAATATACAGCTATAAGAACATGGATACGCGAGAAGAAAAGTCACCCAGCAGTAATACTCAGATACGAATAATGACGTGAATAGGCTATATTATATATATTATATCTATACGTATATATATAATACCTAGTTATATATATTTTACTGCTTTAATTTAAAAAGTCAAGTCGCAACACCAACGCATTTTGAGCCTTCTTGGTGGATTTCCAGAGATGTTAGCTAATTTAAGTGCAGAAATTAGTGGATTAGGATGGTTTGCTAGACAGCAGCGGAAGCGCTTATAGTAAGATGAGGCCACTTATGTGACGGTCGGTACATCAAGATCTGAGTGCAGTTTATGATTTTTTAAATAAAAAGGCGCATTATATGTAAAGTTAAAGATTGAAACGTTTGTATTTTATAAGTGTTGAATTTTTTAGCGGCACCTCATAGTTGAATATCGTAGGTCCAAATGGGTTTCAGAAGGGTTTTGTAGAGTAGTAATTTGTTTTTTAAGTTGAGTTTAGAATGTTTGCCTAGAAGATAATATAAGGAATTTCGTCTCAAGTTTAATAGGAGACGTTTTTGTTTTATGTGCGCAGCCCAAGTTAACCGCTTATTGAGGATCAAGCCTAAGTACTTGAATTTGGAAATCGTTGGAATCAAACCACCGAATAAAAAAGTTTGCAAATAATTTGTATTGTTAATGGTGCAGTGGAAAACATAAAATATAATCTATATAAATATATAGAGTGTCCTGTTTCAGTATTTTTCAATTGTTGAATTTCATTTAAAATATATAACTATATATATAAGAACTACCTAAAAAAAATAATAAAAAAAAAAATGAATTTGAAAAGATTTTGAACAGAGAAAGACATTAATATCTTAATGAATATACACGTCATAATAATATAAAATATGCTAAATATTAAATGGTTTTATTTAAAAAAAAAAAAAAGAAAGAAGATAAATCAAAATTAAAATTGTATATACTTTAATAATAAATAAAAATTAGTAGATTCGTTAACTAGTCTGTCATTATTTTTGTCTGGGTTATTAATTATTATTGAATGCATTACAAAATTATTATTATTAAACAAATAAATATAACATGACTTTCAGAAGTGTATACTAATATTTGATAAAAATCTTTTGAAAGTACCATACGTATTTATTTCAAAATAAAAATAATATTTATTAAAACAAACTTATTTTATTTTAAATGCTCTATCGATAAAGGTCAGTTGAAAGTTATATTTAAAAAACAACTATATAAATATAACAGAAGCTTATGATATATATTATTACAACTTCCAAGATTTAAAAAAAAAAATGATTTAGTATTACATTTTTTCAATAATTATTACTTTCGTTTTTCAATTGTTTAAAATTGCTTACCTATAATGTTTCTAAAAATACCCAAGTAAAATAATCAATAGCTATCAGTAATAAATTATTAAATTACAATATATTCTTTTTTAGAATATACTGTTAAATTTGGAAAATTATAAATCCACAGCATATACAACGTTATACTAACTTAATTAGTTTATCCATGCTATAAAAATTAACAGTTGCATCTGTGTATTGGAAATCATCACCCATTGTTAATATGATATGATTAGTTCGATAGTGAAAAGATTGGTTGATTGCATATGCAATAAGTTTTTGCGCCTGAAAAAATTGACTATAAAAAAAAAATCCAAGCACGAAATTTTAATTGTAAAATATGGTTTATACTTGATTGATATATAATAATTACAAATAGTGATCATATTTCGTTCATTTTAATAGTGGATTAAATGTTTTATTTTGGCATATTATTTGAATCATATTCGTTATGCTATTATTATAATATGCTGTTTTTGTGATGTCATAAAATAACGATATTTAGTAGATTTAATTATAAAGGACATTTTGGTGAAACAATGAACATACAATTTATCAATTTTTTAAATTAACGAATAAATGCTAACATGTCAATACTGCTTTTATTCTGTGTGTTATCATGGATTCAAAACAAACTTTATTTTTAATCAACAATAATTAACTTTTAATAGAATTTATAAAATACGGTTAGTATTCTTAGGAACATGAGCTATAAGAAACGCCATCTTAGCCGTTTTCAACAAAGTTACAACACTTACAACCAATGTTCGATAAGCTGTACTTTTCTTTAAAAAGGTCGAATGTGATAATTATTGTAAAATTAAAGAATTACAGAACTATTTCATAAAAGAAAAAAAAACATTATTTATTATTATAAAATATTATTTATTAAAAAAATAATATAAACATAAATATATTAAACTTAAAAAATCATTTTGATTTCTATAATAAAAATTTGAATGTATAATACAACCATGGATAAAAATTAATAATTTTAATATTTGGATTTTTATAAATAATAATGAGGCTCAAAAAAGTTTTGAAAAGTTTGTACTTTGCACTCCATATTTGATGTGTTGTCATTATAAAAGACGTTTATGTTTTTTTTTCTTACAAAAATTAAATTTTTTATCCGAAGTCATAGAAATAATGAAAACCTAGTTCCTCATTATTTTAATGCACCTTGACTATAGCATAATGTATACTATCGATTACAAAACATTTATATCTTACATTTTTACTTTGAGATTTTTCAAAAAATAAAAATTGATCTGTACATAAAGAATGTAATTTTAACTCGAAAAATTTAAAGTTAACTGCTTAAGGCAATTAAATTTATTAATAAAAAATCTTATTTTAAAATAAAAGTATATTTCTTATTATTTTGACTTTTTTTTATAAAAATAACTTTGAATTCGAGTTTTAAAACTGGCTTTTTTAAAATTTATTATGAAATTCGAAGAAATAAATGTGGTTCAATGAACATGAAGTTCCAATAGATTAGATTGATGTTTGTTTATAATGAAAAATAAATTTTTTTAGTTACACGATATATATGAATAAATTATTATAATATTATTGATCTCACACAACTTATAAGCATACATTAATTTATTTTTAATCGAATTAAAATAATATTTATTTAAATCTAAGTTAGCAATTTAGAGTTGTTAAAGTTATATGTTAATATTAAATGTATATATATTAAGTAATTGTATTCAGGCCTTTAATTTTTCTTATTAAAAAGATTATTTTTAACTTTGAAATATGTAACCATTATTTAATGATTTAAGCATGATTTAATCATACTATCATATACAGTTTATTTTAAAAACCGAAAAAAATTATCAATTATTGTTAAAATAATAATAATTTATTAATATGTCACCGGACATTAACAACGATGAATTATATTTCTCTTACATTTAATATTAAATACATTTGTACAGTGGGTCTTTTACGTTATTTGATGGTTATTTTTTCGATGCGTGAAGTTAAACCAGAAAAAATTATATATATATATATGTAATTCTGCAGGACGTTGCATAAACTAACTTGATGAGTTTGTCCATATTATAAAAGTTAATAGTAACAGAAGTGTACTGAAGTCGAGAAGTCTTCACCCATTGTTAATATCACTGTTAGAGAGATATTGAGAACCTCGTTTTTCCATGCACAAAACACTCATTTAACTGGTTTGCCTGCATGTACGTGTATACTATATACATATAGTACAATTGTACGTATATGTGCTTAATAATCTAATATAATATAACGTTGGTGATTTACTTGATTAATTTATCTAAGGATTTGAAATAGTAATTGGCATCTTGGTATGTAAAGTCTCCGCCCATCGTCAATATCACGTTGCCGTGGTTCTGGTATGCTTTCTCTTGGTACCGCAAGTAATTGATCAAATAATTCGCCTAATTTATTTATTTTTCATGCAGAGTGCACAAAAATATAATACATATTATATAATGTATATATTATTATATGCATGTACCGTTAACGGAGTGATTGATAACAAAAATATGCATATGGGTCGTTGTGAAAGGGAAGGGGGAAGAATTTTATTTTTCAATACCCTACCTTGGCTTCTACGTTGTATTCAGGACTTCTTATGTCGTCCACGATTGGATTAACGCCACACACGATGTCAAAACAAAAACCGTCAGGTGCACTGTAGTGGTTGTAGAGAACTTGTGTGTAGAGATCCGCTGATGAGCCTAAACCAAAAGTAAAACGATTACGAGATAGATGGAGTTTACATACATGAAATGCAGATCTAACTATATATTTACACTGCAGGTTGGTGGGCCACGTATATGTTACCGATACAGTTAATCTAAGTTTATTGCAATTTACGTTTTTGAATACTTATGAATAATATTTTACTGTAATGTACAGGTATAGAATTTAAAACACGAGTACGATATCCAATACAACTTATGTTTATAATACTAAATAAATATCACACAGTTTAAATTAAATTAATTAAAAATTAAAAGTAGGGTCCACATTGGCATTTGATATTAATACTCTAATAGGCTCGTCGGTCGTAAATATAATTAGTGGTGACATTTTAAATGTAAAAAAGAACAGTGGATCGAAACTGCGGTAAAAACCTTAATGCGTATAAATGGCAATAATCAGGGGAGCGGTGGAGTTTTCTCGTCTTGGGACTTGGATAAATTATTTTTATGTGCTAATAACTTTAATAATACTAAAATATAAAAATAAAACTTTAAATTGTGTTTTTCCATGGTACAATAATATTGCCTCTCGCAATGATGGCTGCTTTGAATCCCCAAAAATACCATGATATTCAAAAATAAGGCAAAATCACGTTTTAACTTGGTCAACATTTTTAGCCAACTTCACTAAGCCAATAGTTTTTAAAGTCTTACAACGCACATATTTTATATTAAGTGAATGAGGGGTCAACAATATAGTATTCATTTAATTATTCGTTTATCTATTTTCAACGTTGAATTTGTGTGAAGAGCGGAAAAAATAAAGCATTTTCTTATCAAATATATCAGCGGATAGAGAGTATTAAAAATTATTTACATATGTAGTACCAGTACGTGTAATCATCCTCTTACTAATGATTAACATAAGTACAATTACATTCAACAATTCCAATTTTCTATTGTTAACCTAAATATTAAAAGAAATGGACCCTTTGTTAAATTTAAAATAAAAATATAATTATATATTTATAAAGTGTATAAACGTGAAATGTAAATTTATAAAAATGCTCATAAAATTGCTTAAAAATTAAAAGATCTTGTACAAAACTAATGAGAGAAAAAAATAATGTTTTAAACTTAAAGTTTAACAATACGTCAATTCATTGTAATATTAAAGCTTAAAATACAAAAAAAAGAACTGTTATTTCGCGCTATTATGATAATTCCCAACGGTCGGACATGCTTTTAAGTATTCTGGAACACGCGTTATACACTTGCAGAGCATACTTACATTATTTAACTAATTATTAATACTTGAAAATATTTTATTTATTGTGTAAAATATTTTTATCCTTATGCCAAACGTTCGAGTACCTCATATGTACCTCTGTGTTATATGAATTAGGTATTATTATATTATTAATTTTTAGTAGGTAGCCCAATTTTCATGTACCTTTTGTCAATAAGACAGATCAATGTTTGAGTTGGTTATGTTAAATTGTTCTAATTTTTTATGCCAAGGTCATAAATATGAACTTATGTAAATAAGAAATTATGTAAGTAGAAAAAATATATTTGTATCTCAATAAATAATTATTTGAAATGTATTTTATTATGTTTACCATAGTTTATAATTTGTTAAAATTTAATAGTGGCTTTACAATTTTTGAAATTCGGAATTTTTGTTCTTATTTTTAAAATGTTAATTTTATTTTCCATTAATATAATATAAAATGGCTAACTATGGTATTTCTAGGTATTTATTAATTGTAATAAAAAAAATAAATAATACATAATTTATAAGGTTTAGAACAATAAATAGTGTTAAGATATAATTATTTTATCCCACACAATAAATAACGCCATAAAATAACGGATGACTAACAAAAGAAAAACCTTACAATATTAAAAACATGAATCTTATGAGTCTTTGTATTATTTCAATTATATTTAAAAAATACGAAGTTGGAGATATAACATAAATAAAACAAGCTTGATTTCATGATATTTCAGTTTATAAGAATTAATATCTAAAGCTGTAACATTTTCAAGAATAATTTAATCCAAGTCCCATCTGAGTTAAAAAATATGCCTGAAGCGAAATTATACCTCTTAAAAATTCAGTTATCAGGTTTTTATAAAACAAAATTTTTATTGGACTTTTGTTAGCACGTAATATTTTCTTAAAAAGTATCTATTATTATAACAATCTTATTATTATGTGCTCATTATATTAATTGCATAAATACAACAAATATTATATTTTTTATAATTAATTATGAAAAAATGTATTTAACATTATAAATTATAAAAAACATATGGACATTATTGATAGATAGAAAGAAATTGATAAGAAATATTAAATTAAAATATGTAATTTTCTAAAGAAATATTATAATGCTGGTAATAATAAAATTAAAGAAAAAAAAAATCATATTTATAAAAATCTATGTTGATACTAAAAATAAATCGTATTGTTATAGTGCTAATACAATTTTCTACCTAATCAAATTGTCAATACTATTGTTTTATATAGGTACAATGATAAAATCGATAAACATATTATATTGTTAATTGCTAAAATTAAAGTACCACTAGCAATATTTATGTTTTTAATTGAGTAAAAAATAATGTGAAATTCACATTGTGAATCAATAAACATTTTCAATTATAAAGATTTTAATTAACTACCCTAACATACCAATGTCATTAATTTAAATTTGTATTTTTTATATTATTTTTACTAAGCTTATACTAAATCGTAATCTGAATATTAATGATATGTATATTTTAATATTTACATTATAATTTCAATAACTATATTATTTATATCATCTTGTTTTCGTAACAATAGGAAATAAACAACATAATTTATATTTTATTATGGATTGTAACTATTTAGTAATAGCCTATAAGAAAAACTAGTTCATAAAAATTAAATATATGAAGTTAAAATTATAGTAATACAGTATAAAAATTTTAATTTACCAATATATGAATTTTGATTAGTCCTAAATAAATATCATAGGTCAATAAATTTAAAATGAAATAAATAATCAAATCAATTTTTTGAATACTAAAAATTAAAAAAAAATGTCTAAATATATTTAATCAACTAAAAAAATTTGATTACAGAATTGCACAGGATATTTAGTATTATTCAATATTAAGTTCAAATAAATGAAAATTATAAACCAGATATTACATGTATACATACCTAACCTAATGCGGAACTTATACGCTATGGTTACGATTACTCTAAAATAAATACCACGAAAAAAAAATAATCTGTGTGAAAAATATAAAGAGTGGTGCAAATTAATTTAAGTTGATGAATTGGGTAGGTAGTAATGCTTAGAAGGGATATTAACCAATAAAAATATGATACATTTAATTTAAAAGATAAAATATTACTGGACGAGCGGCTAAGCTAATTAAAAAATATGGCTTAAAAAGAAAATCGGTAATAAAACAAGTATAATGAAATTCGATATAAACTTTAAAATTATCTTTCAAAAGAAACAGCTTGGATATTATGATCTATTTAGTATACACAACTTGTGATAATGATAATAAGTTAAATAAATTGTATTGTGTACGTGAGAAATATATTAACGCGATAAGATAAAAGATTTCGATACGTATTGAAATGAAATGGTACTTGAATATAAGTTGTCAACAATAAATGAGGAAATTAATTAACTATTAAATAATATTACCTTAAGATGAACACCAAAAAACATTACAATGAGTAACTTTTAGTACAATATAATCATGTTTATCTCACGCTTTTTCAACCAACGAGCTATGTTTACCTGTTTTATTGAACAAATTTTAGACTAAACCATTTAATTAAGAGTACAAATTCCAAGTACAGTATGTCAAAATCATAAATTAAATTTTAAATAAACTATGGAGCGTAATTTAATTGGTTTACGTTTGAGCGTGTTATTAGTAGATATTTTTTATGTATACATAAAACATTTAAAAAGAAGCGATCGACTGGGCTGGTTTGGAAACATACTAGATTTATTAAAAAAAAGCCATAGTAATTGTTCTATAATTTGTAAGTATTTATATGCCATTTTACACAAAATCCATACACCAATAAACAACTGAGATAAAACTGAATATTGAGCAGTGGTTTCGTTTCTAATATCATTCAAACCTGCAGTATTTTTTTGGTGTGTATTTATATTTTAAATTTTAAAATGATCTTGCAATAATATTTTGAGTGGTATTTCACATAAGTTTATCCAAAAATTATGTAAACTTTGTCCGAAATCGACGCATTTACAAATATTTTTCTCTATATTTTTATCGCAATATTTCAATCACATTTTTTAAACTAAGTACTTTAAAATTGCTTTTCTTGGAGTAAAATCTGCAGTGCCTAAATTTTCTATCCAGAGAAAAAAGAGCTTCTTAAAAATATTGTAAAACCAATAGCTTCGAGCTTTATTCGTGATGAAAATACTTTTCTTATTATTACTATCATTGTATAACAAAAAAGGTTATATTATAAATTATAATATACTTCGTGTTTGTTCAAATTCTGATTACTGCATCTGGTACTTTACTTCAAAGTCTGATCTTATGATATTTTATTGACGTTAAAAGATTTAATTTTTATTTGTATACGTTTAACTTTGCTGATTACTACGAAACATATGTGATTTTCATTTTTAAAAGACAAATAACAAATAGTAAACGAAATCGGTCTGACGAATTCTTTAATATATTATTTTATTATATAATTACCGATATTAGGACTGGATTGCCATATCATTTCTGCTGTCTTATTTGTCAGCCTTTGTATTTTTTCTTCGTAGTCCAATCGTCCAAAAAATAGTCCATCGTAACCGAATTGTGAAAATAACGTGGCCATTTGCCTCGAGTGACCGAACGGATCGATTTGCCACCCAATGTGAGGTCTTCCACACTCGCCGAACGTATCATTTAATTTTCTGTAACCAAGCCACTGATTTTAGTTGATAAGAAATCGCGTAATTTATAGAGACAGATGTACTCATGAATAAAATTAGAGTGAAGTTTAAGAACATTAAGACTTTCATTTAAAAAAAAAAATTCTGCTAATTCAATATGAAGTAAGTACTAAGTAAATATTATTTTTTTCCAAAATTTTAAATCAAATTCAATAAATATTATTGAAAAAATAAAAATAAATTTTAAATTTTGTTTTTATGACGCAATATTTCAAATACGTAATATAAAAACGGAAGATAAGAATTTTTAAGTTTTACCATAAAATACGTGGTAAAAAATAATATAAATTGACAGTGTTAATAATATTTTACCATAGATTTTTGTATTTTTAAGCCATTTATTTTATTCCGTTTGCTTAATAAAATGTTACATAGATATGAGATAGATGTTGAGTGTAAATTACATTTTAGAAATTTGTATTTGGATATTAATAATTATAACTAGTGGAGTATTAAGTGTCGTTTTAATATTAATCAATATTACGGGGACCTGAATCTCCCCAATCAATCTGATTTATTCTTGCCAATATAAGCACCAATGGTAAAAATTTTATAAAAACGAAATTATTATCCTATGCAATGGTTTTTAATTATCATAATTATTACCTACTAAAACAAAATGGTAATAAAATATATAATTTGTTTGTTGTGTAGTTACCTACTTTGATTATATAGGTGCCTATATTGTACACTGGTCTCGGGTTGTTTTGATTGTTCACAAACCTATGCGAAATAAACATTGACCGAAAATTCTAATGAACGTCCTTTGTCATTACTCATTAAGCAAATGAACAACGAATGGTCATTATCATGAATCAAATTCAATTTGTAGTCGTTTGGGTGGCTGCTAATTTTATTATTATAGGTACGAGGTGCGGTTAACAATTGATCTGATCGGTGATAACAATACGTTGTTTACACTGTATTCGTTGTACTTTACAAATCGGACGCATTTATTATTTACCTTAGGCCCCAAGTAAATTGATCGATAATAGACACGTAATTTGAAGCTGCTTCATCGTTCATACTCCATGCGCCGCCGATGAACTCTAATCGCCCGGACGCCACAAGGTCTTTTACGATGTTCTGCGTCTCCTCCGATTGATCTACCCACCATTTCCAGAAAAACGCCGTCTCTACGTAGATGAACCTAAAAGAAAAGAGACATACAAGATACGTTGATTACAAGAATTCGGTGTGAGGAGGGAGAGGGATTATTATATTATTTATTAACAGCCTCTAACAAAAGATGTTCATGTTTTATATCTACCTCTTATTTGGGTCTTTTGCCAATTCAGTAATAACAGAGTCTAAAATGAATTGTACGCCGGCTAATTGAATAGAACTGTTTGCTAAAAAAAAAAAAAATGGTTAAGAATACATTAAGAATACAAAAACTATCATACGAACATAAAAAATCGGTTTTGTTTTTTTCTCTATACAACCATCGGCATATACAATACTATTATATAATACACCGTAAACAGAATAAACTTATTTTAAAGTAGAATAGTTAGGGCTTCATCATAAAATTACTGATAAGGTCGATAAGAATATAAAAAGTGATTAAATAATTGATCAAATTATTTTAATACCATGCATCGATATAAATATATTTGGTTTACATATAATAGTACTTTTTTAATTTTATTATTAAAATAAAATTAAGTTTACTTAAATGTATTTTAACTATATTATTTTTATTATATTTTTGTTTTATGACATAAATAACAGTTTCAGAAATTCTTTTAAAAAAATCAGTATTTATTTCATTAAATATTGACTAATATTTTTTGTATCTTAAATTAATTGCATTTTTAAATAATAATAACAAGTTTTCTAATTAGAACTAAATAATATTATTTTGTAAACTTTAGGTCATTTGTAAAAATGTTTTATCGCAATATTTTATATTTTGTTTAAATGGCAACCCATTAATTTTTTTTATTATATTCTTAAGCAAAGTATTTATTTGATACTTTTAGTGTTTAAAATATCAAATATCAAACTAATTATTTATTGTAAACAATTATATTATTTATAAGTAATAAAGTTTTAGATAAGTAGATAAGTACATTACAATGTTGAAGTTCTCTTGAGACTTCACTTTTTTTAACTTCAAATAGGTTCTTAAAATGTATACAAGAAACAATTAATACACCCACATTTTCAAAAAAAAAAAAATTGTGCATCATTATATCAAAAAAAAATTTATGTAAAGCAATTAAATCGAAATAAATTAAAAATATAAATCACGAAGATGGAATAAAAACCGTATAATTGTTTTACAAAATAATAAATTAATTTACCCATTTAAATAAAATGTGGGTCAACCTAGTTTTATATAAATACATAAATACATATTACATTATTTAGTATTTTGACTTAAATACATAAATACATAAATACATATTACATTATTTAGTATTTTGACTTATAACTTAAGTATTATTTATTTATTACAAAATATATAGCTTTTTATGTAAATTATAGCATTAAAGTTATATTACATATAATAAATTAAAAAATGTTTATTATTAGATATTTTATCGATATACTGCGATCGAATAAATCAAAGCAACATTTTTGAATTATTTAAACTAAATAATTAATTTTATATTATTATATTATAATTACTGCCAAAATAATATTGGTCGACGGTCTTCAGCCAGCCAACATCATCGTGTGTATGAGGTATAAAGTGCACATTGAGATATCCATCTTTGACTGGATGACACGACTGAAAAAAATATCCATAAAAATAATAAAAATATATTTTCTAGTCCCAGTAAATGTTTACCGTTAAGTCGTTCTACAAATATAAGATTGTGCAGGAAACGTCATTATTGTTTGTATACGTGCTTGGTTTATTTAATAATATAGATAAGTTTGCTCAGATATACTTTGCTACCCTAGTTCACAGTTTTTCAAAAGTAAAGGATAAAATAGGTGGAATCGTCATTTTCAATTATAACAAAATAATATGTGCTATTTATTATTCCTCGTTAAACGTTTATAGGTATAGCTACATAGTATATCTATACGTTGTATAAAATAACTTTAAAATCGTTTTACTTATTCATGAGATTCTTTTTTCTGTCGTTGGTTTACACATAATTTTATGTCTTTAAACGTAGTAACCTAGTTGTATGCTGTATACCTGTATATGTATAATGTATATATAGAATGCCTTTGTAAAAATAAAATAAAAGCTGAAAAACCATTCAATGTTTACGACCAGAATAATATTTTAACAACTAAACTTTAATTACTAAAGCATCGAAAAAACATCGGACGTATGGTAAACTTCATGTAATATGGATAATATTAAATTATATTATTTAATTTTATTTTACTTTATCACACTACTACATTTGGCAACATTCTATATTATTTTAATTGTTATAGCATTTACATTTATTTACCGATAATAATAATTACTATAAATTTAAACATATATAAATTATTTTATTCTTATGTACTTAACTTTATTTTTAGTAATTAATAATTTGAAAATATAACTATTTTCATACATGCATAATGCATATTGTTTACAAGAATCTAATTTGTTCAATAATATTAATTATTCAATAATTTTTAACAGATTTTAATACGTGTAATTATTAATTAGATTGTTTAATATACTAGGTATAATTCATAATATTTCTATATAAAATTAGTCGACCAATAATTTTTCTATCAATAATACTTAGTTTTAACACTAATTTTTATTTTAAATAAAATTGTAATGAACATCTATAAGACTATAACAATAATTATAGTAAGAGTACCTACTATTCATATTTAGTTAAAATTATTTAAGCCCCTGACTTCAAAAACTTTTTAAAATTGGACTTAAATGGAACTTGATCAATTAGCTAAATTTTATTTCATTACTGAAATGAATACAATGTTTTAACGTTAATACTTACATAATATAGGCGATAGTTAGGTTCAATTAGTTTTAATCTCGTACATGCATTTAGAATTTTAAACGATAATTTATTTATTTATAATAGCAAATATACATGTAGAATACAATTATTATAAATTGTGTTTATCAATGGTACCTTTTTTTTATAACACGATTCTTGTTCGTTAAAATGTATTTTAATTTTGTACAATATTTCGAAATTTTAAACATTTTAAAACTATGTAGAAATAACAAAATATAATTTATCTATTTATCAACAAATAATCCAGACAGCTCCCACATAATTTACCCTATAACTGATAATTTCAAAATGTTTGATCGCCAACACAAAATATTTAATCAGTTTAAAATTTGAACTTTAATTTAAAGTCGAAACAATAACAAAAATGTGTTTAATTTTAAGAGGTATTCATAAAAAAATATATCTGTATCCAATTTAAAACGTATTAAAATTTTAATTAATATTAATAAATATTACGTCATATAAAATTCACAAAATTTTGATATAAGTACGAGTATTTTTTTTTTCAATAATTGGCTATTCATATTTGAAAATAAATGTTTGTTTTTCATTTCGATGGATTAACTAACCATATTGATATTATACATAGGACTTAAAATATTTTCAATTTTTGATTAATTTAAATTTATTTAAAAAGTAGTTGAATGTTGATACTCAATTTTAGTAGTGAATGAGACTGATTAATAAATAAATAAATCAACCTTAAAATATTAGCAATTTTTTTAAAAATATGACAATATTGGAGCTTATTTAGAATGGAACTGTGTCGCATATTTAAATGATTCCTTTATTATTCGATAAATACATGAAATCGAGCTTTACAAAAACAATAAATTAGATTTACAATGATCCAATTCAATTTTAACGTCTATTACCTTCATGCATAATTATTAATTATCATGGTGAGTAATAAATTATTTAGAATTGTATTTATATATATATATATATATTCTTAATAATCTTAAAAATTTACCTATATCATTAGCGTATTATTTTATTTTTATGAAAATATCATAAATGCTTACATAATATATCCATTACTGTTTAAAAAACATCGACAGATCAAATTTTTATCATTTACAAATTTTTAATTTATTGTTTATACAAAAACGAATTTTGAGTTTAACTTTAATTCATATGTAACCGCATGTTTGTTTAATGAACCCGCACTTCAGAATGTTACTTAATGTGAATTAACTTTTAAATAATCAAGAATTATTTGTTATTTCATAAATACAGAAATGTTCAATAAATACATAATTTACCAACTCATTCACGCTGTATTATTATCGGATGAATGACCTTATGACAAGACATGTAAACGGCCTATTTAAACAGTTAAATCAAATATAATTATTAAAAATATTGATTACGAATTTTAAAGATAAATGTGTGTCATACATGTATAATGTAAGATGTACAATTAAAACACCGTAAACATAATTAAAATAGCTTACATGATTTAACGTAAACAATATTACAATCTTATAATTTTTTTTAATTTTTTGATTACAAGTCTATAATTAATATTTAATCCTGTTTAAGAAAACAATAAAAATACTATTTGTTTTTATTAATGAATATTAGTAATTTAAGTATAGGTACTATTATAGTACCTAGATATACTGTAAAGTGTAACATTTAATACGAATGTACTATACTATGTATATTATTTTATAAGTCGTTCACAATGCCAATCGATTTACCGCGGCTTAACGTAAAATTTGATTTAAACGACCGTACCTCATATCCACATTTTGCACTGGGTTCGCTTTTTCTCCAGGGTAAGGCGTAAGTACTCGTACAAGCGATCAGCACCAGCAACGCCTTGTCAACCGAGTAATGCATTTTTCGTAACGGTTATCGATACAACTAAAACAACAATAATAATGTGATTGTCATAAGCCACCAAGTGCAGCGAGAGCAGGACGAACGCGAAATCAACAACCGTTGCATTAGTAGTTGAAGTCGGCTGTTGTAATAGTAACCGACTGATACGGAGACCGGACGTTTTGACCGGTATTATAGTGTGCCGTTCTACCGGTTTCACTACTCCTCTCCTATGAACCGATTACGTCGTGTGAGCGAATGGTAGCCGATTACGACGTTATCTCGGCCACAGCAACCTTTGATCAGCGGTCAGGTGTTCAAAATAAAAACATAGTTGAAAATCGTAGACCTTAAACTAATAGAAGAATAATAGACGGTGCACGGTAGTAGTTCCGGTGTCCACACTTGGGGGCGCTGTCAAGGTAGTACTAGTACATAGTACACCGCACGTGCGCACAAGAACTACGAGATTGTACACGACCATTATTGTAACCGTGCGCCTTATCAACACACACACACACACACCGCGTACTTATCACAGCTAGGAAAGACCGCACCACCCACTCGCACCCACACCGAATGTCACGTCTATTAATATAAGTTCTACGTTGAAAACATGTGACAAAAGCAAACATTTATCCTATTAACAGTTTTTGTCGGCTTGATTGTTATTGCCAAAGTTAACGAAGCGTATTGTAGGCGACGATGTGGCGTATTACCTATAATTGTCGGCGCATTGTCTGTAATCCTTAATAATAATGAACATTACACCGATCTTTTGTTAACGTTGTTAATGTATTTTGTTATTTCGTTCGAGTTTAATGACGAGTATTTGTAGTCTGAAGTATAAATGGAATGAATGGACGCTATGATTGATTTGGAAAAAAAATAATAATTAAAATTAAACTATTTTTTCAATAATTGCACAGTGATTAACGTCATTAAATAATATGCTTTTCGGCTGTTTAATGGTATGTACCTACGCAGTGCAGTTAATTTTAAGTGTCTAGTTAAAAATAAATTATTTAAAATACGTTTCATTTTTCTCATGGCATTTGTTATTTACAATATAGTAAAAACTTTAAAAAAAATATGTTCGAGTTTTTCCGCGTACATTAAAATGTGAATGACTTTTACCTACTTACTGACAATAATAATTCTTTAGACAAGAATATGTTTTTAAATATTAGCAATAAATAAACACAAGCTTTTTTGTTTTTCATAGTTCTTGCATTCACTTTTTTTTAGAATAAAGTTTGAATTCCTACGTTTTGAAAAATAAATTCTCTTCTTTTGCCTTTATTTAAATTTCTAATTGACTTGAAATATTTCTAAATAATTTAAGTATATTGTTTCAAAATAAAAAGTAAAACATTTTTAAATAAATATTTTTTTTTAGAAAATTTTAAACTTTAAGACGATGTCTTTTACATATCAAATAAATATTAAAAAGTATTTGAATCTTACATTATATCTAAAATACATTTAAAATATCTATAAAAGTTTACGCTGTATGATTTTCTCGTGATATCTATATTAATGTATTGTTACACAAAAATATTAAATATTTGAATATGTAAACACATAATAAATATATAGAATTTCTTTCATAGTTTGTTAATTTGCCATTTGGTGTGTTATTATTTATTCATATAATTTGGGTGTTAATGTAATAAAGTATAGTTACTATATTTATGTTTCTCCTCGTGGGATAAGCCATTATATCAACTATTTTCGACTGTCAAAAAATCCGATAAAAAAGATGAGTCAAAAAATATCATAGGTACATAAATTGCACTAAACAATATAAAGGTGTACTTGTAGGTATATATAGTTTTTGTGAGCACCATATATTAGTATCTAAATATGATAAAATATGCACTATCGATTAGTTCCAGTTTTTGAAGTCAGTAAATTACACAAAACACTAAATGAAACCATAGACATATTCGTCTAAAAACATATCTCGGTATATTATTTTATCATTTATTTATTTATTTTTTTTTAACTAAATAGTTTGTTATTACTTATTATAGATTCAATGAATCAAAGAAATTAATCAAGTCAAGTAATAAAAATTTAGTAAAAATAATAACGTGGTCGATAATTTTGTGTCTAAATAAAAGTGTATTTACTCGTATATCATAAGTCTAGTACAAAATATTTTATTATTTTTTAAATCTGTATCTATTTTTGAGTGTACTTTATTTTATTAGTATGCAATTTGAATTATTTTAATACTTTAATTAAAAATATTATACCTACATAATATGAACTATTTATTGATTGAGAGTTTTTCACGGGGATAAAAGAAGTATATTTTTTTATTTGTGACAAGTCCACCTTTGTGGCGAAAAATATGTATATAATTCAAGTAGCTTAAGAGAATCGACACTATTGACGAATGCTGGTACAAAGAACGTCAGCCTTATGCATTTCAAACTTAAACACGGGAAACTATAGTAATTAATTCAATTTTAAATTTAAAATTCAGCGCAGTTTCTAATGTAAATCACGCATTCATTTAGTTTTAAGCCTAAGCTGACTACTATAGTTGATTATAATACACAATAAGACAATTCGTTCTAGATGAATTCCCTAGCGTGGGATTTTAAACAACACGCATATTATATTCAATTCCTACATCCGACTAAACAGGAAATTTTTCTGTTGGGATTTTTAAACAACAATAAACGTGTGATTTTAGTACTGTTTGAAAGCGTTTAGGTCATAAAAGACATACTACTAAACGGTTATTTAGTAAATATTATATCGGTGGTCCTCGATTGAAATTTAAACTCCGCTCAAAGTTACTTTTTACTACAGTTAACGTAATGTATCAAAACCTTCTAATATGTATAAAAAATATTATTGTATTATAAATTACTATTGCATTAGTATAATGATGTATGCGTTTCAACCTTTAATACCATAACTAATCTAACTAATTAGATACCATGAAATTTATATTTTATTTATATGTTTTAGCAATTAATATTTAGAATAGTATCACTCATATTATTGTTGTTGACGTTTTAGAAATTGTATATGCATATAACTATCAATTCAATTAATTGTGTAGATGTTTCCCATATGTTAATAATTTCGATTTCGTGTTATGAATATCGAATATGTCGACACATCAAGTTATTTAAGAATAGTTTAAATAACTTAAAATATCGAGATTTCGAACTAAAAGAATAAATTAAATTTAAATTAATTTATTTTGAATTTTAATCATAATTTTAATGAGTTAATACTTAAATATATACTGTATTTATAATTGTTAAGCTATATTAGCTATATTATAAGCTCAATATTTTTTTTGTTCTCATTCTTAATATTCTTATTATTTACATAGTAAGATTTAAATGATATATTTTTATTTAAATATAGTCATATTTTTAATTATTTAAAGTATTTAAACAATATTAAAAAAAGAAAAAATGTACGAGTATACTCGTAGTAGACGCGATCAGAGAAAGACGCTGGCAAATGGTTGAACATGCCCTGAGACACCCAGAAGAATTGCATAATATAATATTAAAGGGTATGATAGAAGGAAAAAAACTGCAGGACGTCCCCGGAACTCTTATATAGGACAAATTAAATTTGATGCCAAAGTTAAAACCTTTAAAGAACTTAAAGAAAAGGCGAGTAATCGATTAGAATGGAAAATTGGTGTTGTAAACCAACCTTCGGGTTAAAAAAAAAAAAAATTAATTCTTTAAATAATAAAATTAAAAACATTTTGAATAGAATATGAAGACAGGCAAGTGTTAACCAGATTAAGAAACTAAAGAATATTGTGATCTACAAAGTTCAATCATGAATGAAGCTGAACAAACAAAATTTACGAGTATATAGAGTGTAGAATTGTAAAGTAAATAGAAATTTGTTTCTTATAAGATTTAAAATATTTGTTTAAGTTTATTAAGCTAAAGACGAAATTAATTTACTTAAATGTATTCTTATTTTATCTTATTTTATACATACATAAAAAACGTAAGATAGTTTTTAACAGACAAAATATCTAAAGCTCTACAAAATCTATTTATATTATTCTATTTTTAAGCGTAAAAGTTTGATGTATGAATGAGACATTTAAAGAGAAAAGTTAAAAAAAAAAGATTAATTAAATAACGCTTTTGTATTATATGAAGTAACAAAGTGATGTACGGTATCAATAATGAAACATTATCGAGACTCAATTTAATTGTGAATGTACTGAAAAGATATTAAAAACGAAGAGGTTTTTGTATATTTACATCTAGCGTTCAGTAATTTCTTTTTATATTTAAAAAAAAAATGTCTATGAACATTAAAAATTGATATTAATAAGCCTATGTAAGTATTTTATATTAATGTATTGTAAAAATAATACTATATTATCTATATAACATATACATTTTAAATGAGTTTCTTACTTGAGATCAATTTCAGAAACTATTAGATCAATTTCAATAACAGTTATATCACAATATTCCTAAAAACTCAAAAATGTTTTAGTTTCTTTTTTTAACTTTTATGTGTTTCTATATAGGGTGGCTTATGCATTAAATGCATTTTAGCTTACGAAAATCAAAATCTTTTTTATTTATTTACAGGGTTTCTATTATGGAAATAATTTTTTTTTTATAATCGCGAAATAGAATAGATGACTTGCTATATATTGCTATGAGATTTTTTTTTTAAATAAAATTAAGTAATATTTTATTCATGATTCGTTGTTTTAATGTACAACAAAAGGTTCTTTACTTCATAGCTTATATTCATGAAAATTATTTGACCAATTTTAACAAAAATATCAGAAATTGTTTTTAAAAATACCAAAAAATTGTAGAGATATATGCATATTTATATTTAATAAAATATAATGTAATTCATAATTAAAAAACCTTTCAACAAAGTAATTAAAAATTTATTTCATTAGTTATTTCCTAATAATCATGTAGTGAATCATCTAAATTATTATTTAGTCTATGTTTTAATTAGTATAATAATATATACTATCGATTACAATCTATAAACACAGTAGGCTATATCATAAATATGTATAATTTGTTAATTATTATTGACTAGAAACTGAGTAATTTTCATTCACTAAAAAATTATTTTTAGTCATTTATGGGGATGCTAATAATCATATTTAACATAATAGGACTAGAGATTTAATCAAGAGTATAAAATTATAATATAAATATTGTATAAGCACACGTGCGCGCACACATACACATCATAATAAAATCAATACTGTTGTGAATTTCACTCGAAACCTAATATTTCATATTATTTATCATGATTAATATTTTAAT